GGAGGGAGGGAAGGAAGGAAGGAAGGAGGGAAGGAAGGAAGGAGGGAAGGAAGGAAGGAAGGGAAAAGAAAAGAGAAAGAGAAAAGCAATGAGTCAAAACGTGGAGGTGAGCTGAGTGGGAGCTCAGGAAGTGCCTCTGCAGCACCGAGGTCTGGACGGCCCTGCCAGGCCTTCCTCGCTCTCTGACCCATCCTGTTGCCTGCCACAGACAGATTCACAGTGAAGACACCTCGCTTCCGAGACCCTGATCTGAGCCAGAAGCCCCGGTTCCTGGTGGGCCTTCGGACCCACCTGGTGCCTCGGGGCTGTGAGTGCCACATGACGTGTGCAGTTCAGGGCTCCCCTCGGCCCCACGTCACCTGGTTCAAGAACGACCAGAGCCTGGAAGGACACAAGGCAGTCTACAGCACTGACATGCTGGGCGTGTGCTCCCTGGTCATCCCCTGCGTGTCCCCTGAGGACGGGGGCCAGTACAAGGCGGTGGCCGAGAACCCGCTGGGCCAGGCTGTCAGCACCGCCACCCTCATTGTCACAGGTACTGGTGGCTGTCCTAGAGTGGGCTGAACTAGTGTGTGTGTGTGGGGGGGGAGGGAGCCAGAAGAGAGGCTGGCTGTCCTGCACCTTGTGGAGTGATTCAGCCGGCGTCAGAGCAGCGCCCTCTGCTGGGCACAGTGTGCGTCTGCTGTTGAGCCTGGCAGTCACATCTTGCTGTACCTGTTCATAACAGCCACTGGGATCCGATGAGCCGCAGCTCCTGCATGGCTATGTGCCGCCCTCCCAGCCCAGCCTTCTACAGGCCTCAGGATGGGAGATGAATGGCTTCTTCCATATTCTGTCATAAACATGCATGCCCACAGAAACTGGGTAGATGGCTCAGTAGAATAAGTGCTTGCCTGGCAAGTGCAAGGGTCTGAGTTCAATCCCCAGTTCTAAAAAAAAAAAAAAAAAAAAAATGCCCACGCATGGAAGTTTAGTGCCTGGAAGCCAAGCCGGTGGGCTCCTTTTCAGTAAGGGAAGTAATGTAAGTGGTTATCAAAATATATGGTGAATGTAAAATTAAAAATGTTATTATGGTAAGAGACACATTCCCAGGAATCCCCTTTAGAATTTTCCCTGCACTCCTAACCTGTCTATCCCTCCATTCTTCCCCCTCCCCCCTCCTGTGAAGCGGTTCTGCAAGTCCTTTATCATGAGTATCTTTATGAGCTGATCAAAAAGATGGTAAATAGCATTGCTGAGGCCAGCTCACAAAAAGACAGGCTTGTAAGAACACTGTGCAGTCTCCTCATCTACCTTATTCATCAGATCTGGCACCCCATGACTTCTTGTTTCTCCCCAATGTCAAAATGACCATGAAACGTAAACATTTTGGATCAAATTGGGACACTAAGGCAGTCCTGATAGCTCAACTAAAGACATTCACCAAAGAGGATTTCCAGAACCGCTTCAGGACCTGGAAAGAATTATGAAAGAAAATATGTTAGAAGTGAAGGGGAAGATTATTATTGTATTAATTTTTAAAAAATTAAACATTCACATACTTCTTGGTCATTCCTGGTACACATAGCCCTGGAAAGAATCAGGCATCTAGGGGCAGTTATTATTGCTACAGGGGATGTGGAGGGACTTTGCCCAAACTCAGGGAAAATGTGGTGACTCTGGATTTGAGCCCATACCCCTGATACCGAGCCCACAGGGCTAAGCCTGAGCCATAGCACCTTCACCATGGGACAGGCATGGGAGCACAGCCACCCCTAGCTGTCCTTTCTAGACCACCTGTAATATTCCATGTCTTGCAGAACCAAGCTCCTAGCCCTGCCTTACCTGAGATGGCCCTGCCTGGACCCATGGCCTCAGAAAGGATGACAGATCTGTGTAGCTTCACCCCTGGCACTGATGCCAGCCAGGGGAACCAGCCCCAAAGGACAGAGGCTATGCCCAGCAGTACAGGAAGACAGCGGTGATGGTGTTTCTAGAAGCTTTGCCTGGAGGACATGGAGGCCTTGGGGAAGAAGAAGGGGGACAAGGTGGCCCAAGCCAAGCCACTGCACAGGATGGCCATACACTCCCAGGCCCTGGCCACACGGATTTCTTTCTTCTGTGGGAGGAAGTCAGGCCCCTGTTTGCTAGGCCACTTGAAGGGAGGGCAAGGACCGCAGAGCCTGCTGTGACCATGGGGACAGAAAACAAAGAAGATCAAAAGACCTGGCATCCAGGGCATGGAGGATGTGTGTATGCGGGCCACTCTCTGTATTTTCCTTCATTAAAGCATCAGATTCAGAAAGGCCAGTCCTTTGCAGATTACCTTGGGCTTGGTGTGTTGGGACAGATCCCATATGAGGTTTCTGCTGAGAAGCTGGGTGGGCTATGACTGAGGGAAGAATGGCGTCATAGTCAGGCCTTCTTGCAGTCCAGGCTGCAGGGCAGATTGCAAGGCAGGAAGCTAAGAAAGCTTAGAGGCTCAGTGTATCAGAGGCCTCCCCTCATCCGGGCTCCTGCCTTCTGAATGCCACTGCCCTGCAGAAATCCTGAGAGCAGCAGGGCTAGAGGCTTCCCCAGGTGTCACAGGTTTGGTTGCCTAGGACTGCCATTTGCCTGTCCTCTGGGGACCAGAAACAGTCTGGGCTGGGAGAATCTCACTAGAAAACTTTTCTGTGGACCCCTGCCACAGGGGACGAACGACACCAATGTGTCCATGAAGACGTGGTTGCCACTTAACACTCTGTGGGGCCTCCTAACCTTTTCTGCAGCCACACCACCACGAGGCGCATCTGTTACACCCACCATCACCTCCAGAACACTTAATTCCCTTCATTCTCAGGGTGTGGCCCCTACACCTCCAGGGTTCTCAGGAAATGTTCTGGAGTTTGCAGAGGCCAGAGAAAGAAAGGCCCTGGGGGAGGCTAAGCCCACCCTTATCTAAGATGTCAGCTCCTAATTCTAATAGGCCACCTTGCATCTGCTGTTCATTCCTTTTACTAGGACCCAGACTCACAGAAAGCAGTCTTGGTCAAATGCCGAAGGGAAACATTTCTATGCAGAGTGAATCTTCAAGGGTGTGTGTGTGTGTGTGTGTGTGTGTGTGTGTGTGTGTGTGTTTACCTTGTGAAGCAACAACAGCTACGTATTCAGAGTTCTAGCGCTAGGAAACTGGAACAATAGGAAGCCATGGTCCGTTTTGGACAAAATCAGCAAAGGCCTTTATTAAAATAAATCCCCTCAGGCAAGTAGGTGTATGTCCCTGGGCTGGGCTTGAGTTCCTCTGTAACTGGGCTAGAATATGGAGACGAAAGGTACATCCCAACATTCCGGCATAAGCCTTTGCCAGCCAAATACACGGAATCTGAGCATGACTTTAAAGGTTGGAAGACAGTTCCTGCTGCTAACAGTGTGTTCCCCACGAAGCTCTTTAACCTATTAACACCTGCTTTCTCACTTACAAGTTAAGAGTTGCCTGACCCATGGTCACAGGGGTTCTTTTTCTAAGTTTTATCCTTTTAATTCTTACACTAACTGTATCCATTTTTAGTTAATTTTTGTTTGCCATAAGAGATAAAAGTTCACAGTTTTTGCTTTCATCTTGAATATCCACTTGGCCCAGCATCATATAAAAAAGGGTTTTCCTTTTTCTCTTTAATTACCTTGAAATGTTTGTTGAAAATTAATCAACCATTTATCTATGAATGCACTTGGGACATTTTATTCCTTATTCATTTTCTATCATCTGGGAAGGGTTGTATAAAATTAATATTGTACCTCCCTTAAATGTTTGGAAGATATTATCAACAGAGTCACTGGATCTAGAGTTGTCTCTGTGGAAAAGATTTGGTCACAAATTCAGTTTTTTCAATAGCTACAGAAGGTAATCCAAGCCACAAATATCTTCTTAAATGATCTCTGATAATTTATGACTTTCAGAGTTTGTCCATCTCACCTAAATTGTTGAATTAATTTGGATAACGTTGTTTATAATATTCCTCCACAATCCTTTCACTGTTTTTAGGGTCTGTAGTGATATCACCTCTTTGATCCTTGAGCTTTCTAACTTCTGTCTTTCATATTTAATCACTTTGACTACAGGTTTATCTTTTTTATCAATCTTTTAAAAGAACTAGCTCTTGGGTGCCGGGGAGATGGCTCAGTAGGATAAGTGCTTGACTGGCAGATGCAAGGATCTGAGTTCAATCCCCGGTTCTGCAAAAAAAAAAAAAAAAAAAAAAAAGAACTAGCTCTTGGTTTCAATGATTTTCTCTACTGTGTTTCTGCTTTCAATTTCATTGGTTTTTGCTCGTGTGTGTGTGTGTGTGTGTGTGTGTGTGTGTGTGTGTGCAGGGTCTCACTATGCAGCTCAGACTCATAGTGATCCTCCTGTCTCAGCTTCTCCAGTGCTGGGATTATAAGCATGCACCACCATGCCAGGGTTCCAGGGCTAGCATACCGGGGATCAAACTCAGGCCTTACACTTGCCAAGCAGGCACTTAGACCACTGAGCGATCTCCCCAGCCCTGCTTCCATTAGTTTTAATTTGCTGTTTTCTCCTCTATGTTATTAAGACAAAGGTTTAGATCATTAATTTTAAACCTTTATTTCTTTTTTTTTCTTTTTTAATATAAGCATTTAGTACTATGAATTTTCCTTGAAACACTATTTTAGCTACATCTCACATATTTTTATATGCATTTTCAATTTTTATTCTGCTCAAGATATTTTCTAATTCATGTTATTTTTTTCTTTTACCTGTGGGTTGCTTAGAATTATGCTTATAAATATTGAAGTAGATATGATTTTTCAGATATTCCTTGTTGATTTGTAGTTAAATTCTATTGTGGCTTGTGAAAAACGCGTTTATGATTTTTTTTTTATATAACAGCATTTAATTCTATCACATTCCCATCAACCATCAAAGGCAGTAAATGACAATTATATTGGCCGCTTCCACTGGTTGGCAGGAGGCTCCTCCACTAGCGGCTCCCATGGTTTCCACTGCATCATTTTCCTTGCCAGATTTAGTTCACTTTCAGCCTGAAGAATCACCTCTTCTACTTGGCCAAGTTGAAGTCTGTCTTCTAATTTTTTAACATCTGGTTCCGCTTTCACTATAGCCAGCCTCTCATTTGTAATTTGTTCTGTGTATTTTCTATATGCAGCACTTTTAGAAATTTGATCAAGAACATCAAGAATCTTTGTGTACAATATTCTTAACCTCTCGTGCGGCGTCCCGCACACGGCCAACCCCATGAGGCCAGTGGTCTTCTCCAGCTCACCCGCGATGACAGCGCATTTATGATTTTAATACTTCCAAAAGGAAACCTGTTTCATGGTCCAAAGAACTTATTATCTTTTTTTGGCAGAACTAGGAATTGAACTCAGGCCCTTGCACTTGCCAGGAAAGCACTTACTCTACTGAATTAGCTCCCTGGCCAAAGGCTTATTATCTTATATAATGTTCTTTCTGCTGTTATGGGGAGTGTTCCATAGAGGCTAATGGGGCAGATGGGTTAATAGCATTGTATGAGTCTTCCATATCCTTGCTTATTTTCTTTCTAGCCACAAAGAAACACAAATCTGGATATAAATACATTGACATCAAATAAGACGAGCATCAAGTCAGGCATGTTGGCACCCGCCTGTAATCCCAGCACTCAGGAAGCCGAGGTAGGAGACTCACCGTGAGTGCAAGGCCAGCTTGGGCTGCAAAGTGAGTTCAAAACCAGTCTGAACTGCATGGCAAAATCCTATCTCCAAAAGACAAATACAAAACCAAAGAGTTTAAAATATTTATTTCACCAGAAAAAGTTAATAATTCTGAGCTGACATACAGCTAAAAATATTGTTCCAAAATGCCAAAAGCACAACTTCACAGAATTATAAAAGAAATCAACAAGTAAGCTCTGCCTCGGTAGTTAATATATCAAATAGGAAAAGAATGATAACAAGTGTGTAGAAGACGAGACTGCACAGCGAATGAACTTGAGCTAGTAGACATCAACCACTGTGCTCCACCCCCAGAGGACAGACTTCTCTTGAAGCACACATAACACATTTATAGCACTTGCCAGAGATGAGATCATAAAGGTATCCTGAAAAGTTTCAAATGAGGGCCAGGGAGATAGCTCAGCAGCATAAGTGCCTGCCTGGCAAATGCAATGTCCCAAGTTCAATCCCTGATACAAAAAAATAAAAAGTTTCAAGTGATAGTTTCAAGTGATTAGTGTCACATAGATTATACTGTTTGATCACAAAAGTCTGTCCTCTGGGGGTGGAGCACAGTGGTTGATGTCTACTAGCTCAAGTTCATTCGCTGTGCAGTCTCGTCTTCTACACACTTGTTATCATTCAGAAATCAATAATGAAAGACGAATCAGAAAAAAGTGCTTATGTCTGGAATTTTTGAAGAACACCTTTAATCAACTATGCAAGGAAAAGCATAATGGAAAAAAAGAAAATATTTAGAACTGAATGATAATTTTTAATTGTTTTTCAAAAATTATAGAATAAAAAAATCAAGCTGTAGAAAAAAATGTACACTCATATGTTTCTTCTGAAAAAAGAAAACTAAAATTAATATTGACATTCTGAGAATCTATATCAGACACACTGTCCCACCTGCCACAGGTAAGTAGTTAAGAATGATTAGGTGAGTCTGACCATTGAAACATGGCAGAAGTAACAGACAGTACTTCCTCCCCCCATTGGGGGGAAGTGAAGGTTAAACAAGGTCGTGGAAGTGAGGACCTCCTGACAGTGCTGGTGCCCTTATTTGAAGAGATACCAGCAAGCTTGCTCCCTCCTTCCTTGTGTGCACACCAGGGATTCGCCAGGCGAGCACACAGGAAAGGCGGCCTTCTGCAAGCCCAGGAGAACTGTCCCCAGGAACCCATTTGGTCAGGACCTTGGCCTTGGCCTTCCCAACCTTGATGAGAATTCCGCCACCCAAGTCTATGATATTTTGCTATGGCCACTGAGCTGACTGAAATACCCTTCAATTGATTAAATGAGTGCAGTCTGACCCAGATATTAGAATCACAAAGGTAGGACAAAGAGGACATTGGAGAGCTTCCAGCTACCCTGCTCTGGCAGGACCAGCCTGTCCAAGCCCAGGTGCAGCATGGGTGAGACCCTCTTACACCCCCTTGGGACCCCCACCACCCCTCTGCAGCATCCCCACACCCAGCCCATCCAGTGAGAATTTCTGCCACATTCGGAGGACCCCCAGATCCAGCCCTAGTCCAGGCCCTGTGAGTGTATGGGAGAGCTGGCTCTCCC